ATGCATCCGTGATCAGATGTAACTCTGTTCACAGATGAAGTGGGACACCTGCCGACATATGGGCCTTGTCTAACCACCAATGTAGATCATCCATCAAGGAGGAGGGAATGTCAATTGGAGCATACAGGATATTCAATGCGAAGTTCCACTGGTCATGAATAGCCTGCTGAAGCAAATGCATATGAGCCCCACCAAAGGGTATGATAGGTGTCCGAGATGACCAACTCCCCAAAAGCGATAGAACTTTGCCAGTAGTAAGTAAAGGAGCAGACAGGGCTGTCCAAATGGCTAGTTTCATCGAATGGAGCCGTAGAGGAGAAGGTTGGGCCCAACTGATATGGGAGTTCAAGAAAACACCCAGATGTACAAAATAATGGGTAGGATGAAGGAAGAACCCCTCAAATGTGATCAACCATCCCCCCTCACCCCCACCCGCAAAAAAAGAAGCTGACAAGTGGGACTAGTCAACTCTCATTTGGAATGTGCAAGAAGAAGCCAATCAGTCATGTAAGCATGGAAGCACAGCCCCAGGGTATGAATATTCTGAGCAAAGGGGTGAACCACTCAACAAAAACTTACGGCACAGAAGCCAGACCGAAGGGCAAGGAGATAAAAAGGTATACTACCCCACGACGGGCAAACTGGTGGGACTAAAACCCGCACAATTTGCGACAACCTGTTGGGTGAAGAGGTCGATTACTGTCTCGGAAGATACTGGTGTGATCATGGATTCCAAGGAGGGAGAAAATGGGAGAGAGGGGGAAAGGGTACGACAAAACTCTGATAGAACACCATGAACCCAAACTTTGGAGAGGAAAGGGCTTCTCCAATGAATCAAATTTGCCAGACGAGCTACCCCCAGTCCCAAAGTCACTGGAACCGTTGCCTGCATACCATCTATCGCCATGAAAAATGGCAAACTGCAGTGCCGCGGGAAGCTGGTACAGGCAAAGCAGTAAATGGTAGGGATGAGAAATAGCTTGGAGCCACACTGGAGCCAACAAGGTACCCGATGTGAAAGGTGGATCGCTGTTGGACAGAAGCCACCCGCGACTCCAAGGACACAGTAATCATGCCACACTCGAAACATCATAAAAACAGGGCTATAAGAAGGTTTCGTATAGATGGAGCTGGGCGACGTGTCCGCGAGAATATAATGTCACGATCCAAAAAGTCCTAAAGAGAAGTGAACCATGTGTGTAGGGACAGAGCCAAAGACAACATGCGGCCGACAGTGGAAGGGAAGAGGGAGAGGATGTCCCCAGAAAACCCTACAAGGTTCCTGTGAAGAGCCTCAGACAGGAAGACAATTGAGATGAGGTAAAAGTCGCAAGGGCAGATCGACCCAAAGCCCACGTGGAACTAAGCATACCAATTCTATCACCCAACAGGGCAGCAAAGCACAGTGTAAACCCAACTACAAGTGGACGGGGAAAACAAGGTAGAATGTGGGTCAAAATAATACTGGCAAGAGATAAAACATCATATACCTGAGATATAATCTCCCAGAAAGCCAGTGTGGGCTGAACAGAATCTTTTGGAAGGGGGTGGTCAAAGAAAATCAAAATTTCATCAGCCTGTGCCTGTAAAAGGCTCAAAAAGATGTGTGTTCCATATAATGCTCAATCTCCCTGTAACAAAGGCCTAGATATCTCCTGATGAGTCACCTGTGCCTGTGGCCGAAAGTGTGGTACAGACGTGTGATATGCACCTGAAGTGGTAACAGCGACTTCGCAATTCAGGCTAGATACTAAACAAACGAAAAATGCACGAGAATCATGGGTAAATCAAACGCTCTCAAATAAAAGTAAAGTTAAATTAAATGAAGTTGAACTAAGTTAAATAAAGTTAAACCACTTCTAAGGTCACCAGTAGTCTAAAGAAAGACGTCTGCACATGAGCACTGCCCAATGAGTGGCACATGAGGGAGTCACATGCATCACATGATAGTAGTACTCTCATATTGGTGGAGAGGTGATGCATGATGATTTGAATGAGAAACGTGTTGGAACTTTGGATTCCAACAGAGGGAGGATGAAAGCTTGTGGCATGCATTTCTGAAAGAAGTTTGCATATAGAGGGCAGCACAAAATGGGAAGAATTAATCTTATGAGGAGAGGGAAGATACCATATCAGAATTAGTTTAGGGAAACAAATGCTTTCTCAGATATGGTGTTTTTAGTATATAGTAGTGACTGAAATTATAACTAACTTCAGTTTCAGCTTTTGGGGATTTTACATGTGAGGACATAAAAGTGTATATGTAAACAGTATTGAAAAGTATTTCTTGTTAGTTTTTCTTTCAACTGAAACATCATTTCTTCAGAGTTTGCACTTATGCTTCATTCTTCTTTTTTGTTCTGAGATTCTTTCAAATGCTTCCATCAATTTCTTCAGCTTATCATTGGGATATTTTTTAAACAGTTCCTTCTTTTAAGATAAAGAGGGCAGCACAAAATGAGAAAGCTAATCTTGTGAGAGGATAGAAGTACCTATTAGAAATACATTTTCATCTAGGAAAATTATAACATTAGACTGCCTTAGTAATACCTGTACTATAAATGTGAAAATTACGTTAAACTCGGGACATCAGGGAAGGTAGAAAATGTGCACTTTGGAGTGAACAAGTGTTACATGATAAAGATAAGTGAAATTTGAGAATTTATTTAAATATTTCCTGTTGATATCAAGAAATTAAAACTTATAATATTACAATTTGAATTGTAAACTATGTTTTAATACCAAGTTTATTGACATATATTAAAAATGAAACTAATTAAATTTTGAATATATAACTAACAAGAACACTTTGACCCCCATTGGTACACATAGGGTTGTGAGAGATATGTAATACTAGTGCATTATACAACTTATTCCCTTTTATATATATTTTCTGTAATTATGTATTTTACCATTGCTAAATTGACCATTTAGGTTCAGTTATTCATTTTTGTGTCTTCTGTGCATTTATCATCTGTGCATTTCCATAAGTACAGTAGTCTCTCTTAGATACAACTGACCTATCTGCAATGATAAAAAATGTGCTGATTTATAGATCATGTATAACTTGGAACTGGTTGCTTTCTTCACTGCTTCGGTCTACGTCGATGTCCACATCCTGTTTCATATCAACGCCTTGAGGTAGTGAGCTCAAGCCTTCTTCTTCATAGCGGCTTCCTGTTCTCAGCTTAAACATTTACGGCTTTCCCAGATGCCTTGAGGCATTTCATTAGCCATGCTTATCATACACATTAATCAAGTCTGTCACTCAACAAACTGAAAGTTAATAACCTTCACACCCTGCTAGTAAATCCTAATTAAGTTACTTAATATCTAGTTCACAAGCTCAAAACCTACTACATTCACTAAAAGAATAAATCTTAATTCCATGAATGGAGAAAAGACAAACAACAGTTCCTGATCACCCCTGGTTACCTTTTAGGACTTGAAAGTTTTTAAACCAGAATACCTACGTGTATGTACCAAAGAATTTGTTTTGAACACCCCAGGTTACTAAGGTACATATACTAAGCTGTGAAGCAATCTGCAGTCATGTGACCTCTTTGTTCCATACTGTATACACTGTATTCATGTGTCTCTGTAAATTACATTATTGGTATGAAGAAAAGTCGGTATAGAGAGGTCGTTATCTGACCTTCCACCCCAAAATCACAGTCATATGTCATATCTGTCAGGAAGTCATCTGTGGGAGATCATATCAATGTAAAATTGTTCTGTGCATGGAAAAAAGTTGTTATTGGGAGGGGTTGTATCCACCAGGGACTACTGTATTTTAAACACACACACACACACAGATATATATCTATGTCCAAATTTTCTCTCATATTAGGGTATTATGTTGTTTGAGTTATATTCTTACTATATGTAACTTTAAGCCTCTGAAGATTTTTCTTACTTTACTCTAGTTTTTGAATGAATTTAATTCGAGTAGTTCAAAAGTTATCTTAGCATTCACCTCCATAGCTGAAGTCCTTGTTAAGTATTTAGTGTGAGGTGTCCCCTCATTATTGGGTTTTAGACTGTCCATTATGTTGCAGTTGAAATTAGAGGACACTATAAAAATCTGTTCAACTCCCAGCACCCACCATTTTTATTGTCCTTAATGTGGTCATCAAGGGATCATCATCCTGGCCATCTAGTACCTTTATATTGATTTATTGTTTTAATGGCCTGTGTCACATTTTGAATTCTTTCCTTCCTCAGAAGGGACAGCTGTCTTTCTGCTTTCTCTTGTTTCACTTCCACATACATTTGAGGATTCTAGGATTAATTTATGGTAGGAATAAGTTGTTGTATTTGAAGTTAACAAATGAAACTTAGATGAATACCTCTACCATATAATCACCATCCTTCTCCCCATACTGGGGAGGTTTCTCAAGAAAAATGTAAAGATATGGAGATTTTAGCTCATTTCTACATGTGTGAAGTTGACTGCACTATACTGTTTCAAGTAGAGAATATCAATTATGAATACTTATCATCATATTAAAGAGATTATACATAACATTCAGTTTCAAGTATTGCAACAGTGAGGAGAAAACAAAAAGATCGAGAAAAACATTAAGAAACCTACATCTTGGTAATTAGCCAAGAGAATAACAATGAGTTGCAATAATGAGAAACACCTATTTGATTCTCATTCAAAAATAATAATAAAAATTTCACTTTATTTGTTTATATCCAAATATCTTTATTCCCTACAGAAGTATTTAAGGCATATAAATCATTTTAAAGTTAAAATTGCATTCATAAATATTACATGTGTTTCTGTTGGTATTTTTGGAGAATTTTATCTAAAATATTGAGTGTTATACTCTTATAGTGTTCTTGTTGGAATTTATCAAGTTCTTTGATGTAACCAACACATCTTGCTGAAACTGAGTATGAAGACTATTCATGTAATTTTTTGTTCTGTCTTTTTCTGTTATAAGGGTTTGATTGATTGAAATTATTAAGCTTTTTTGTTCTTTCAATTCAAGGTTAAAGAAGGACACTCCGTTGACTTTAGTTCTGACATCATTATTACTTCTTTGGAAAACACACTCAGTAACAGAAGTAAGCTGTCTTAAATCTGCTCACTTTAATTCTGCTACCTCTAAATCATCACTAATGCATTCATATTTTGTGTGCTGTAAAGCATAGTTTGTTCTCTGACAGAAGTTTATTGAATACTAAGAGGATTGTTTGTGAGAAATATTGAGAGGAAATTTGAAAAGTGATAGTGTTGTGTCTTAGTATAAAATGTTAATCCTCTTTTGCATTAAGTATCTTATATTCAGAACTGAATTTTTTGGGGGAATTTTATTTTATCTTTACAACTAGGTTTTTTTTAGGAACTTCTTATATAAATGTTTGTAATGCATACATACAATTAAAAATTCTTTGTGTATGATATGTAGTACAGTTGTTTTCTGTTCTTTATATAATTATGTACTTATTTACTTAAAACCTGTTCTGCTATTGAGAAACTCATAATGGTCAACTTAATGGTTGCAAAAATAAAACAAAGTGCAAAATATGATTTTTTCTTATGTTTAGATTAATGTTTCTATGGTTTTAAGGAATTTGTTTTTCTTATGGTCTTTCACAAATATTTTACCAGTTGACAGATATTTACAGTATACTGTTATTGTTTAAAGAGAAATGATTCTTTTGTGCATCTTAATATACTAATTACACTAAACTTTAATTGTTTATGTTTACGTATATTAGTTTTATTTCAACTTAAAAATAGAATTAATGTTCTATGCTAGTCTTGCCAACAGCAGCTTAAAAAAAAGGCCATTAAGCACTTTTTTTTTTAGAATGGATCAGCACTTATTGAGTGAAAACTTGTTCCTTGCATTTTTGTTTCTTTTGTAAGTTTATATTAATATAAATAACATGTAAAACCTAAGCATGTCAGAAGAATTCAGTTTTATGTTTTATTTATGTTAGGGTTTGCTATTGAGCTAAGGTGATAGTTACATTAAGTTTACTTACTAATGTATTGACGACAATAAGCCAATGTGCAGTTCAACCCTCTTAGGATTACAATAAAAATAATTATTTTTAGTCAATAAATCCATAAAGAATAAGTTTAAAAGTCGTATTTAACTTCAGTTTAGACTATTCTACAGGTAGGACAAAAACTTGTAAGTTTATGAAAAAATGGGGTATATTTGATTTTGTAAAAAATTATAGTTTATAGATGCACAGCTAGTCGAAAAATTGTTACAGCTTTTGTATTATTGTTAACTTTTATTCATAAAATTTCATCTTAAATAAGAAAATGGTGTATCTAAAAGTGTTTTAACTTTTGACTTTGCATATTCATGTCAAGAAAATATTTTATTCATGTATTGCTTAAAGGAAAAATGTTTCAGTACTCTTTATACACATTTATAAAAGTATTGTTCAAATATAAAATTTTAAAGCTTAAAGGTAAAATACATAAAAATTAAAAATATTAACTTAAAATTTTCATTGATGTAACACTGTTGAAAAACTATTTTTCTCCAAATAACATGTCATAGCATAAAACTGATGTGAACAGTTGCTTCATTTTGTACTATGGTGTAGTTTCTTTTGATAATAACTTCTGTAGAATGCCACAGATTGTAATATTTTGAATAAAAACTTTTTTAACTAACCTAAATTATTTTAGTCAACTTTACTACTTTATTTGTAATACCTGCCGGAATAACACATTTAAGAAATAGCTTAAGATTAAGCAATAGAAGCCTCACAGTTTTTACTTCTGTATGTATCTGGATTCAACAAAAAGGAATTGAAAATTTCACTTTTTGCAACATCAAAAAACTATTGGAGCAAACAAATTGTAATATATCAGAAGTGTGTTTATAGTTATTGTATATTACTAGCTACTATTCAATAATTTGTTTCAGTATATTACTTTGTGGCTATTATATAGAATAACTAGACATATTGTTTGTCAATAATGGCTCTTATTCAGATCTGTTTTACTTTTGGGCAAAACTAGTTTTCCTTCAAAGTCAAAATAAGGTGTTTGGCTGACAGGTATTGTTCTCAAATACCAAAAGTAGACCACCAATATTATTTCTGATGTAATGATACAAAAGTTTTGGATTAAGTTTTCAGTCTGTGAAAGACAGTGCTTAGTTTCTGCCTGATCTCTCCTCATCTGAGATCTGGAACTTATTTTAGAATTGTTTTTAATCTAATGGCAGGAACACTAATTAATTCTAAGATTGCTTCAGTTGCATCACAAAATGATATTTGACTGATATTGTCAAATACATTATTTTCCTCCACTTCCATCCCAAATATTAGCTTTAATAACATTTAAGTTCTTATTTTTCAAATCCCAAGTTCACTTTGTACCTGTTAAATGGTATCCAGTACATTTTTTCTAGAAAATGAGCACTTGTGAAATGGAATATACCTTTCACAGATAATTACACTATAAACGTTTCCCATTTGGAAAAGTTTAACTTAAGTTTAATCTATTTTTCCTACTTGAGTCCGTGTTTGGTGAACAAAATCAACTGGTAGTTATAATTGTTTCTTTTGGAGATAGTTTAATTTTCTCGTTATTTGAGTTTGATACCTAATTCAAAGTTTTCTTGTGACTAGTAACTAAAATACACAGAGAAGCCAGCAGGTTGTAAAAGGAAAAATCAAAGTAATTGTGATTTTCACAGTTTAAAATAATAATAAAAAAACATAATTTGCACTTCAAAGTTTATTATTATTTCAGAAAATCCTTTTCTTTTTCAAAAGGATTTTTTTTATGTGAAGTGAATTAATTTTTGTTTTGCTTAACTGGGTTTATTTTAAAGCCTGCTAAGGTAGTGTTTTTAGCAAACAGTATGTACTGTTTCAGAGTAAAATGCATTGAAATGGTTCTAGTTTTGTGTGGAAAAGTTAAGACATACCTATCAGTCTGTCCATAAACAGAAAATAAGAATTAATTTTTCTTAGAAAGTTGTATTAGAATGTTATTATCTTGCAACTTTTTGTTAGACTTGCACCTCAATAAGAATATTAACATTTAAATACTAAACATCTATTAGTTTCTTTGATTTATGTACATGCACTTTGTGCTCATAAGAGAAAAAAAAACCCAAAAACTTGTTACTATGACTACACAATCACACACGTGTTGTCCGTGTGTTCAACTGTGCCTATGCATTTTAACTTGTCTCAATCAAACTTGTCATGTACTCTTAGCCCCTCCCCCCCTCCCAGAATGATATGGGTTGGGGATGGGGTCAGCATTTGAATATTACCCTTCTGTGTCACTCATCAAAAGCCCTTATATCTTCCTTGACAAGACACACAAGCATGTTTCAGTCATGTGTTTAGTGAACAGAACTACACCACTGTTTGTTTATGAAGAATCAAAGCCTGAGATGTTAATTTTTAGTAACCCCAGAATTTAATAATTTTTAATTTATGGAATACATATTAGTGATTATATATATGCTTCACGTTTGAAGACAGCAACAAGTTTTTGTTGTTCAGATATTAAAGATTAAAACCTGAAAACACCGTCATTTGATTCTAAACCTAGAAAATTTCTGATATGACTTAATGGGATTTATGACACTACATAACATTTCTGAGTTAAAACATGGGTAGAAACTAGACATATTGCATTCCAACCTACTCTTCAAGAACCACTGCTGTAATAATCTTTTATTATTAAAAAAGCAAAAAAAAATTAAGATATCTTAGACATTTCATGCAATACTATAAATCATAACTAACAAGTGTCAATTGAATAGTTAAAATTTACAAAATATTTCTCATCAAGCAAGAAAAAAGTTGTGGTGGGATCCTAGGTTTGAAAATTGGATTAGACAGCTTAGATATCATATGAAATCCTTGTGCTCGAATATTTATGGCCTTTTAGTGTTGGCAATATCCAATATAAATGCATGCAGTGTTGAAAAGGAGAGGCAGAACGAGAGTATGTAATCTCTCTGATTGATCTTGTTTATCAATGGTCTTTCTTTCCACAGAGATCTGGATACAATATTTCAATATTATTCTACTTGGAAGAAGAGCTAGGCAATTAGTAGTATTTGGTAATTGATATATCAGTAACCTCATTAATCAATTAGTACAGTATTCCTCAAACAATGGTATGAACAAAAAGTGCTCCCAGCCAGTTGCCTTCCTCTTTATCAGCTGTTCAAAAAGAAGAAAAAATGGTGCTGCGTGCTTATCCAGCCAGTTGCTTTCCCTCTAGTTAGCAATTCAAAATTAATGACAGTGGCAATATTTCAATTAATTTGATAGTTGGAATAATCATCATTTTTATTTATTGATTATTGGAATAATTGAAAACAGTAGTAATCAGAAACACTAATTTCAATAATTGATTTAATTGTAATTCCAGTTAATCATTTAGTTTATTTGATGTTAATTGATGTAATTGCTGCTCATAAGTAATTGGTTATATTGAATAAATTGTTTAGATCTCCTTAGAAGTGCCCAACATATTGCATAATTCACAAACAGGATTAAGTTATTCAGAAAAATATAGTCAAAGTAAAGTTAAAAAAAGCTCTTGGTCATATGACCTGGTGAATTAAGTTCTGCACAGTCTGTGTCCAAAGACAGAAACACAACCTTAAAGAAACTTCTACAGTGCATGATTAAAACCCTTCTTTAATCCAATTTCAAGAAATACTGCTTGACTTCCAAAAATGTATCATGACAACCTTTATATCTTGGTAGTCATTGCTTCATTATAATGTCCACATCTGGGTGTTAATTTCGTGTTATTTTTTTCATCATCTGAGTATGTATATAAGATAAACTATCTTTAACAAAAGAGACATGAATAGTTAGCCACTTAACAAAGAACTAATTGTTGGATTATAAATACCCAATTGAGCATACTTTAGTTCCTCAATGTAATGATTGTGACAGACTTGCTGATTTGTGACAGCATTCACATGAAGAAAAGTATTTTCTGACAGCCAAGAAGACAAGTTTAAAAAATTCAATGTGGTAAATAGTTTATGCCATAGTTTCTTAACAGCATTTACTAAGCAAAATTTTAAATTGTGTTCAATAAAAACTTAATTTTCAGAAAATGAAATGGAAGTGAAAAATCCTTAAAAAGGGCAGGCATTCATACACATCGCATCGTCTAAGAGTAGAAGATAGGCTAATGTTAAATGTGGTTATTCAGTGAACTAGCAACTTAACTTGGAAATTGGCAATAGTATGTCAACCAACTCATGTAAGGTGACAATTTGTTTACAGTGAGAAATAAATAGCAGTAACATGGTAGGTTGGGAAAAAATGAACACGTAAATTTATCTCCAGAAATATATTAGTTACTAATAGGGAAATGTTAGGACAAGCTAGCCATCGTTTATTTTCTTTTGGAGTGCTAAAATTTAACTTGTTAAACAATGTAAATGATGTCAAAGTTAATATCTCAGAAATCCAGAGTGAGCTGAATCATGGATTTTGTTGTTCTGGTCTTCAGACATGATACAAAAAGTAAACTTATAATCATCACCAACATTAACTGTTTAATTTCTAAACTTCATTAATGAAAGAAGATATCTTAGAATAAAAGTATCCTTTGCTCTATGAGCATAACTTTCAATTTGACATATTTCTTATTATACTAACTGCAACAAAAACTGACTAAACTTTAGGCTACAACTGATGGGGGTCACTGGTGTTCAAAAAAAGTTATTCTACCTTTACCATCTGAGTAAGGGTATTAACTTCACTGGATACTATATAAATATATATATATATATATATATTGCATAAATTATAATATAATTTCAAAGTAGAATTGTACTGTATTGTTGAATAAAGTACAGGGGTATGTGTGACACTGTACAGAATGACATTGAGGAAAGTTGCATGTACATCAGTTAAAATTTTAAACTTGTTTTAGTTAATATTCCATAAGATAAATAGAAACGCCAAGAAAACTTGCTTTAGATTTTGATCATGAAGTCATTAATGAAAAATATTTCTTACCATATTTTATCAAAATTCTGAAGTTTTTCTTTTTTAGGATGTTAGCTGTATTTAACAGATAGAATGATGAGAATATAATGTGAGGTGGGTTATTCAAGTAACATGAAAACCCATACCCATCAAAAATCTGGAAAATTAAAAAAACAAATCAATAAAAATTATTATTTACCTTAAGTTAAAAACTTTGAAACAGATGAATAGAAAAATCTAATGGCTGGTGGTATGCAACAATAGTGGTAATTAAGTATTTACATTGGCATCCAAGCCAGTTGGCTGAACCCCAACAATCACAGCAGATGTGGTAGTTCAGTCTAATGCTTGTTCTGTGCAGTTATACAAGATGTTGGAGTTTGTGTCTGAAACCATGCAACTGACCTCAAATAACCATGGTCACATCAATTCAAAC